AAACTCTTTGTGCTCTTCAACACTATCTCTCTGCTACTATTTGTCCCTGCTGTGAAAAAGAGCTATTTTAATCCAGATCCTGGAGGGGTGAAGGAGGCACAATCACCTTCCGTGCACCCTTACCTGCAGCTGCTGCCACCAAATCATTAACAGTACTAACAACACAGCGATAAGCAAACACAAAGCCACGCCCCAAGGAAAACTAATTAAAAAGGCTGCTCTTTACTCAGCTGAGCCCATATCACACTCAGGGGAACTTACTGAATGCCAATCAAAAAGTTAACTAAGTTCAACTGCTTATTAAAGTAACAAATATGCTTAATTAAAATGTTGAAAAATTATTTTCAATGAGGTAGTTTTTTCCTGAATTTGAAGTGTGAAACTTAAAAATTTCAGCAGGAATATTTCTCAAGTTTGATCTCCTGTATGAAATAATAATAGGAAGAATACGGCATGAAGCCCAGTTTGATGAAATTAGGACTAAGTCTGAAAACAGACATATGTTCTTCAGACAACGGCTCTTGTATGCAAATCTAGAGAAAAAAATGTCAGTAACTTTCCCCGTTAACACAGGGCTCAAACTCAGTCATTACATTCACTTTATTAAACTGATATTTCACCTTAATTATAGAGGAATAAGGCGACTCACAGTGGAGGAATCATGAGCTCTGTTTCAGCACTTTGGAAGCAGAGATCTGTAGAAAACCAGTAGAGTGGAGGTTGACTGGAAAGGTGTCTTTCACAATGAATGTCCTTCTCATTTATGATCAGCCATAACATTTCTTCAAACATTGCTGAAGTCGCAGATGATTTCCTATCAAAAATCCAAATTTTATGTCATATTTGTAAATAAATGTATATTGACTTGCCAGCTATGTTCTCCCTCTATTTCACACCTTTGCAGTATAAACACAGGTTTGACCTGTAAGAAGACATTGGCTTGGTTAGCAGTTGAGTTAGTAGTAGGTTAGTTAATTTGAGAGTGTTAAGAAACTACATTTGGGCATTTCTTAGGCATAAAAGTATTGAAATCTGAGACATTTGAGACACTTTGCAAAGCACCTTTTTCTCAAAAACCAAATCTCAGAACACAACAAAGCCAAATGCTACCACCTGCTCACTGGCATTTTAGGAAGTCTTAAATTTTGAGTGCACACACATCCACCAGCCTTTTCCATCACTAAGACAGGGAAGGCAAAAGGAAAGCTGGCAATCACATCAACAACTCAGAGCTTATCCTCAAGAAACTCTCTCTAACCACCAGGTCTCTGAAACTGGGAAGAGGAAAGAAGATAGCACAAAGGAAGTGCCAAAGGCTCTAGTTGTTACAAACCCTCTTGACTTTTCATCTGATGCAGGAGTAAACAGAAGGAAGTGCTGATGAATGTCAGAACACACAGCAACACTGCCACCACCATACCTACCCTCTATTTCCCTCTCTCTCCATGCCTTCCAACTCCAGTGAAGAAAAACCAAACTTGGGATGCAGCCCCTGGGCAATATAACACTGGAAGCACTAGCTGCTTTTGCAGTGTTTGCTATTTATCAGTCTCATCAGATATAACAAAGGGAGCACATAATCAGTCATCAATTTATTAGCAGGGGAAGTGAGCTGCCTCCAGAAAAGCCAACAGAAAGAAGGGTCAGGTCCTATTTATCAATTTTTTTGCCCCATGTAACATCTGAAAATTCAGGGAATATATAACAGCTACAGGGAATACATAACGGGGAATATCAGCTCCATCACTTAGAGTGAAAGGACTAGGTCATCCATTATGTGGCAGGAGCCATTAGAAATAAGGAAAAAGTTTGCCTTTTTTGCAAAAAAGGAATTCAAGGCCACTGAGCCCAAAAGACTCCCAGCTAGCTGAACAAGGGGATTTCTGCCAGAAAGCTCTGTTGCCTTTGAATGACTTTTTTTTTCTACAGAAGCTTACATAGGAAGATAGAGCTACACAGGCTGATTCTAGTCATGTAACCTTGAGGGAAGCAGCTCGAGGGCCTCAGCCAACCAAGGAGAGTTTTTCCAAACCCAAGTCAGCCACTCCATCCTTGTTAAGGAGACTTGACAGAAGGAAGCAGAGGTAGGGGAGGTCTTGGCTTCAAGGCCGTTGCACAAGAGGTCTCTGAAGAGAGAAAGATCAGATAAAAGACTGTGCACTTTTCCACAAATCTAAAACTTTCTTGGACTCTGTGAGGGAAAAAATGAGTGGGAAGAAAGAAAAGAAATCAAAAAATCTTTGCTAAGCTCCCGTTCCAGTGTTTAACATTGCTGCTGTATGAAGCAAAAACAATCAAAGTTCATGCAGACTGGTGGTGAATAAATCTAAGCTGCTCAAAGAATCAAAGAATCCACAGTCATAGAGTCCTAGAATATCCTGAGCTGAAAGGGACCCACAGGGATCATCGAAGTCCAACTCCTGGCCCAGGTCTCACAGCTGAAAGGCAGCCAGAGGCAGGATCTGAGATTAGACACACAACCAGTCCCTCCCCAGATGAGTGGTCCCCTGGCAAGATACCACTGGCAGAACTTGCTTACAACAGGTCAGACTGCAAAACTGATTCACACTGTGACAATAAAATACAGCTTATCTACTCTGTGACTGCAAGGGATAACGCAGGTGGCATTTCACCTTGACTGCTGTGATAACAGGAACATAATAGAAATTCATTCTGAACACAATCCTTTCTGCAGGAATACAGAGATATGTTAATTACACAGTGGTACTGCATTTGGATTCTAGCTATCTTAAATGATATTTTTAGGTCTAATTCATGTAAAATGAGGAGACAATCTTTTGAAGGCACAGTAATTACATCTGGTCAAACTGCTACAAGAAGAAAATCAAGCCATTACGAGCACAGGCTGGAGCCTGGGTAGATGCTTAGCGAACACAGACCAGAGCAGATTCACTGCCTGCTGTATTTCCAAAACAGAAGCAGAGATTATAATGTTAAATTCAAGTGAAGCTGATTCAGAGTAATTTAGTTAGGAGGTCATATGCTACACTGGTGGCACTGTCTAGTGGATAAAACTGTAATTGTAAAATTTATTTTTCTCTTTTCAAATCTTTAAGGTAAGACTGGAAGCACGGAATAAACATCAATTTAACATTATGCATACCATATATGACATTTATGAACTACTTTTATGCCAACAAACCTATGGTATACGTATCCTAAAAAAAAAATTACAAGAATTGTACTGTGAAATAATGAAAAATAAAGAGAGTCAGGGATGTTACTGAAAAGTATTAAAGCTTCCTTCCAAGTACAAATCTATGAACCCACAGATGTGTCATGTTTTATAGACTCTAGGTTTGATTCTTTCCTTCCTGAAAATGACTTTACGTGACAGGAATTAGGTAACAGAGTCACTCCTGTCTCACATGAAAGGAAAGTCAGAGTCTGGACACTTGAGTGAATGCTACCAGATCCTCTGATTCTCTCAAAGGGCTCTCCTGAAGCACCAGGAGAACAAACTGTACTCATTTCCATTCTGTCTGGGAGTGCAAGGATTGCTTCTTACTGCACGAGTCCCTGTGTCCCTGAGCCCAAGAGGGACACTTCACAGGCTCCTAGAAGTCTTCCATCCTAGGGAACTGCTTTGAAAGCAATCCCATAACAAAACATTTACTGATTTTAATGGTTAAAGTTGGGTGGGTTTTTTAAGCAGGAAAAAGAAAAAAGAGGAGTGTTTTTTCTGGATGCTTCCACAAGAAAAGATCTTTTTGGTTTTTTCCCTTCAACTGCTTCTCAGAAGGAGCTTGCTCAGGTGACAGGGATTAAAAATGTGTAATATCAAGAGAGATGCTTTTTAGGCAAAGACAAAAAATGAACAACAAAAAATAAGCTGTCACATTCGAGGCTGAGGTTTGTTTAAAACTGCAGACTTTTCTTTTGACAGTTCAGTTTGTAAAGCCAAAAGGCACAAATTTCATCACTACAAAGAGTATTTAATAAAGGAGAGGGAGAAGTAGGGCTGTCTGAGACTCCAAAGGATCCTTCCTGTCCAAATTCCTATTTGTTTGGGACACCACAAGTACTGGGGCTGCTGCAGCAAGACAGGGAAAGTGGCAGGATACCAGCTTCAAATTAAGAGGATTCTGTAGGCCAAGCTTTCTGCAAGGAACAGAGCTCCCCATGGATGTTCTTGATAAAGGAAGCCTTCAGATCTAAAAATACCCACAGAAGACACAAACAAACTCAAAGAGGACAAAACTGATTAGCAGTTTTTGCATTTGATTTTAAACTATGCTTTAAACTGGAAGTGACGTTTTGTCAGGAAGCCAGCTTTGCAATTCCTTTTATTTCATTTTTCTGACAAAACCCAGCAGCATGTCTTTTGCAGTTCTCCCTTATTTATTAATTTCATGAATAAAAGATTTTTCTGGTGACTAACTCACCCTGACTTTCTGGCCACCAATCCTGCCCTTTTTATTCCTTTAGGGAATGGATTTCCTTCCAAATTTAAATGGCAGGCCTAGAGAACACTTTAATGATGGCATACTACACAAGCAGTACCATTCTTCCTCGAGGAGCCGATTTACCTGCCTCAAAAAAAAACCCCAGTGCTTCAATTAAGGAATTTAAATTATTCATAAGGAGAAAAAAAATCCCACCTTTGCCAAATGTTGTCAGCCATTTCCTTAGATGATGCAAATAGGCACAATAAAATCATATCATTTTTTAAACCAGTTAGCACTGAAGATGAGAAGAATCACCAGTCACAGCAAACTTGGAGCAAGCCCAATACTTACAAGACTTGGACAAAAAGGCACTTGCTTAGTTTGAAACAATAGAAATCCACTTTAATTCACCCTAAGACAGGAAGAGCCATCTCTCAGTAGATCTCAGCACTCCAAGTTACTTTAATTACATCAAACTTTGTTTTTCATTTTAACAACGTGTCTATGCCAAATACCCCCTGGTAAAATGAAGAAATCGTGTCCCCAGTGAAGTCAATGACAAGCCACACGTTCATTTCAAGAGATCCAAGATCTCAGCCCCAGTTTATTATTCTAAAATGAGTAGTCAATTTTCACATACTATTACTCCACAACAATGCAGAGTTCAGTTCAAACACCATAACCAAGGGCAGCCAGTGTCCTTCAGATCAATGCACAACCCTACAACAGACAATAAAGGAACAGCGTGACAATGGGAAATTTCTTTAAAATCCAGCACTTTCATCAGCCTTAAATAAGCTCTAGAATGAGTTATTACCCATTCTCAAAAGTCACGGGAACTGGTGCCAGAAAACTCAAGCATAAAATGTTTTTCTGTGCAATAAAATTGAAGTAAGGAAGGCATTCATCACCTCCATTCTCAACTGAAAGTCCACGGACTCCCAGAATCTCGTTTAAACACATATTCCCTCCATGCTGGGCGAGAGAAAGGCCACAGAGCTCCTACCTGAGTGAAAGAAGAGAACAGTCACACTTGAGCCCTAGAATTGCTCTCACCTCTGTATCCAACTCACTGCCAGGAGGGATTTCTGACAGGGAACCTGTGCGCAGCTGCTTCATAATTGCTCCAAGCAGCATCTCAGCTCAGTGTTTTCCTACTCTCCTTTCCAGAGAGTGGGATTAGCTCTGGCCCAGGTGCACATTGGGGAAAGAGACCACAGGACAAGGAGGGAGAGTTCTGGGACCAAGCTTCCATCAAATTATTGGGCACCTTTTCTACATTCATATTTTATTCTTGTGCACCGCAGAAAATCAAATAATGAAAACAAGTTTAAAGTCCATACTCTTGTCCTGAAGTAAACAGTACAGCCATTAAAGAAAGAAGGTAAAATATAAAGAGGAAAACACGCTGTAACAATGGCCACTGGACTATGTTAAGGGCTGGGAAGACTGAAATGGAAACATGTCACTTTGTTACATCCATCCCTACAAGACCTGCAAGTGAGCCCACAGCTTCCAATTGTATCTGTATTGTCAGAAAATGACAGTTTTGCACTTTGTTTCTTTCATATTACTGATTCAGAGAATGCTGAAGCAATTTTAAACACAATTCTGTGCAATAACAGTATTAGAGGGATTGCTGTGTGTCCATTCTGCAGAAACCAAAGCCAAAAAAAAAAGATCTTTTAGACTTCAGCCTTGGCATGTTCCATTTACACTTGGCATCACAAAATAATGAATGGGTGTCTTAACAGCAACAGAAAGGAGAGATGTCATTCCCTAATAACTTCTGCTGGTGCACGGTGGAAGGCTTAGGTGAGATCCTGGCGAATGCTCCACTTATTTTAGACAACAGTTATGCCAGATCCAGCTTCTCTTCAGAAGTACCCAAAGACCCTCAGAATGACACACACCTTCAACATAGTTCTTCCATGAATGTATCTCTGTCACACTCAAGAGTCTCCCAAAACAGCATACGAGAAGAGCACAGATGACTCCAAGAACATGGGACACCAGGAAATGTGGCCAAGAAAAAATTTTTCATTACTTCAGGCTCCTTTTCACAGTCTCATAGAACCATTTATGTTGAAAAAGACTCTTTAAGATCATCAAGTCCAATTATTAACCTACTGCTAAACCGCACCACACCTACACGTCCTTTAAATCCCTCCAGAGATGGAGACCCCACCACTTTCCTGGACAGCCTGTTCCAGTGCTTGACCACCCTTGTGGTAAAGAAATTTTCCCGATATCCAACCTACATCTCCACTGGTGCAGTTTTTGTGACTTCATCTTTCCTTGTATCTTAAGGCCAGAACCTCGTGGTGCCACCCATGCAGAAAGCAGGAGCAAGAGAAGCCTTGATTTTCACAAGTAGTGAAATAGAGGATTTGGTGATTGACACTAATTTGAGGCTCAGCTTTCCTTAATCTAGTGACACCTGTGACTCGATAGAAGGTTGCTACAGCCCTTTTGCAGGAAGATGTGGTGGCTTTTGACTTCAAGTGCACTTTTGCAGTGCTACCCAATGCAGATCTAACCTTGCTACCCCAGCTGTGGAGTTGGCATTTTAACTCCAGGCACCTAAGTGACAGATATGGCACCCCATTTGTCATATCCTGGTTTTACATGTGCTGCTATGGGAACCTTTGCAACTAGGACAAAGACCAAAATAAAGTGAATGTGAAATAAATACTTATTGAGAGCACAGGTAATAGGGTTTCATAGGGATTAAGTCAGGAAATTGGAAAACAGAGCATGAGAGAATATATTATTAAATTATGCATTTCTCTCATCTTATGAATAATATAGAACTGAAATTGATAAACAAAACTCTAGGTGCCACCAGTGTTATTTGGGAAAAAAATAAAGTAATTGTAAATATTGCACAATCATTTCAGTATTATGGTAAAGACATCTTCACCTTAATGCTTCAATTTTAATTTATCTATTGTGCAATCTGTATGTGGAAAAAATATCATTATTAAATTACACTCCATAAATGTTCCCAGAAGATGTTGTATCAGCATAATTTAAAGGATCAGAATTGAAAATTAAAGTTTTGTTTTCTATTATCAGTGTTGTGTTTTGGATGAATAAATGTCAGAAATTGCAACAGCACACATTAGTTACCATGGATATTCGGCCCAATCATAAAGTTGCTCCCTGTAACAAAGATTAAACTCTGGCTCCACTGAAGTCACAAGGGGTTTTCCTCTCATGCTTCTGAAGGAACAGTCCAAAAGTAGGTGAAAGGATGAAGCACTATATCAATTAATCTTACATCAAGGGCAATTTTTCCTCCAGAGATTCTTAACTGATGGAATAACAAAATATTGAAAAATTAAGTCCTCCAAACATGAATTCAAAAAACCTTGTAATGATCTCGCTATCACCTGTAATTAGAAATTATTGAATATTTGCAGTCTTTATTCATCTGCTCTCATCCTATAGTGCTAACCCTGCAGATGTATGGTCAGGTGACTTACAAGTGTAAATGATGGCCCATAGGGGACATTTTAAACAGTGACTAAGTGTGAAAGAGATGAGTAAGTGCTAATGGGATTTTCAGAACCGTTTTCAAACTAGTTGCATCCAACAAGATTCTGAAAAAGCTCACTTAGCACCTATCTGGAGTGTTAGTTTCTTGACCCACATGAACAAATTTTATATGATACCTGTGGTGTACTTAGCACATGGGTGAATTCGAGTGGAACCTATAAGAAGCAGTCTATGTATTATTAATTAATTACAAAATGCCAGTGAACTGTGAGCCCAGGGCCAAGCAGGAAAGGTATCATGTGAAAAATGCTTGTGTATTTATTTGCTCAGCCATGGGATTTTAGGCAGAACTAACAGAAGACGGGACAGCAGGGATTAAAGAACCACCCCCCCGCTGTGACCAATTGACTTCAGGGGTTTAATTTCCACCTTTAGGGTATTAAAAGAGTATTAAAACATAAGCTTTTGCAGCTTTACCAATGATTCCATAATTGAGCTCAAAGTAGCTGTTTCATAACCACAGATTGTGACTGGAAGCAATAACAAAGTCATCAGCTGTGTGATCTCTGGCACTCACCACCTCCTCCGTCTGAAAGGTCCTGTGTGTGGCACATGCCTCTATCTAAGCATTTATTTTGCTGCTACTGGCAAAGGAAGGACAGAATATAATGTTTTAAAGGAAGACTATGAGTTTTAACTGCTTGCCTTTAAAACAAGCATTAAAGACCAAAAACCCTGCTGGGTTATTAGCAAACTTCTGACTAACAAAAAAAACCCCAAAACCATTGGCCCTAACTGAGCTCAAGGGAGCATCAGCTTCAGGTGAGAGCTCATAGTTACACAGAAATTTTTCCTGTCTCTCAGTCCTCCTCTTATATGATTTTTATTAGCAACATTCTAAAACTTTCCCTTCAGCCAGTCTCTGTTACTCTTAATTTCTTTTGCAACTGAAGCCTGGACTTCAGAAATACTGCACTTGTCTGGATATGAACTATAGTGATGTAAGGAAAAAGGGGTCAAGATGGGATTATATAAGAAAAGCATATAGTAAACTAATTCTTAAGTCTTTTCACATCTCTTTTATGCTTCTCTGGCAGCCTCAGGCAGCTCCTGCCCTCTTTAAAGTTACCCTGTGCTATCAGGCTGTTGAAAAGGCTCTGGGGAGAAAAGGAATCTGCACCAGATGTCATTAATTGAGATCTACCATTTTCCTAGTTCCTCCAAATAACCATCATGATAACTGTATCCCTCATTACAGCACTTCAGCAGGAAATAAAGCAAAAACTGCAGCACACCTAAGGGCAATACACCTGTAACTCCCACTTCCTAAAAAAAGGGCAAACATATTGATTTGTCTATAAAGGAAAAGCAGCTTCAATTCTGCAAACATTTTCAAAAACCACCTACCTGTCTTGAGACACGGAGTAGCCAGTGGCTGCAGAAAGCTAGCCTTGGGAACTGGCAGAAAGTCAGAGCACTTACAAACCACAAGTGGCTTTATAGACCTTCGTGATATAAGCACTTCCAAGGAAGTGCTCTAGGGAAGGAGAGTGGATAAAAATGCAAAAAATAGCAAAGAGAGACATTCTGGACCCAAGACAACTCTGGAAGGCTCAGGAAAGCTCTAGGACACACCAGGGGCAGTAAGAGTGCACTGCTCAGCACTTGGCCTGTGCACTATGAGTTTTAAACAGCACAAGTCCCTGTATGGGATCTCAGCACTCATTTGAGCCACCTCCTCCATGACATGGGTGACAGTGCTCTGAAAGGCTGTCCTGTGCCACCATGGTAGCAGGGCAGGGGGACCTCTGCCACACTCATTTCAGAGGCAGTGTCAAGACACTCACAGACACGGTATTTTTTGGAAGAGTACCTGCTGTATCCTTTGGGAGCATTCCAGAGCAACAAGAACTACAAATCTCCCCTTTCCCACTCCTAAGAAAGCAGAGATAAGCCCCACAGAAGGGTCTTGCAAGTTTTCTCGGGCACTTGGAGGAATAAAGGTACATTGCCTCTTGTTGCACAAACACCAGCCAGTTTTTGACAGTGTCAGTGCAGCTTCCAGCTCTCTAAGCAAGAAGCAGCTTTATCATCTGCAGCATGAGAAGGATGTCAGGATTCTGCTCATGACTAATGACTTCATGCTGTATTGCTTCAGGACTACACCTTGAGTTAAATAACTTCTGAAAATTAATTGAAGAGTTACCCAAGCAAGAAGATGGTGAAAAGCTTCGGGACTGCATCCTGCCTTTTTGATGCACATCAATATCTGCCCCAATGTCTGCCTTCAGCTTGTAGCCTCCGGTGCTGTGAGATGTGGACACAGGGGAGGGATGGACAGAAAAAAGAGAAGGGAGGAAAAAAAAGAAAGGAGAACCACCTGAAAAGAGAAATAAGTAACCGGGGAAATCACAAAGCTGGCTTGTGCAGTAAAAAGCCCAGTGTATAGAATCGATTGAAGATTTCAATACAAGGGAACAAGGGTCTCATTTCAGCTGCTGATCA